TACCCAGGGGCTCCATAACAGAACTAAAATATTGGAAAACAAGAACATATAAGCTGGGAACAGAATATTTGAAGTTAAAACTTTCTAAGATTCTTGTATTTATTGGGAAGATAGATTTACTAAATGATTTTAGTTTTTAAATATTAGGTATGTTAAAATTTTATAAGCAACTGGTAAATTAGTAGAAATAAATTGTAAAACTTTCTAAATGTAGGTGGAAAATGAAACAAAAGAATCAAAGTCAATTCACAAGAAATCCAGAAAAGAGGGTGGAAAAGCATATAAGAAAATACAGAAACCATAGAAAGCAAAATAGAATAGCAGAATAAGCAGAATATATGTAATTGGACTAAATGTGTCAATAAGACTTGCCAGATATTATCAGGCTAGACTAAAGTCCATCTATGTGCAATCTGAAGAAGAAACACATGAAATACAGGAGCATAGGATGGAAGTTAAAAAGGGAAAGAGATCAAATCATGAAACCTGCAGCAAAGGAAAGATATACCAGGAAAACACTAACCAACATTAAAATAGTAATATTAATTCTCTTCCTTTTAGCAGAACTTTCAAAGTCTGACTGAACACCCAGCTAACAATATTTCCTAGCCTCCTCTTGCAGAAGTTTGTAGCCATGTTTTTAAGTTAAGGCCAGTGGAATATAACATAAGTGATGAATGCAGCTTCCTGATACTCTCCTGAAAGGCAAAACTATTTGTCTTAATTTTTTCTCCCCTCTTCCATGTGGCTGGAAAAGGCATCTGCAGCAGGAGACTTGTCACCTGTCGTGTCTGGCAATGACAGTTAATCATGGAACAGAGCTGTCTGCCAACCCTAAGCTGTACATTTACTTTTGAATTCTTTTTTTTGCAAGAGAAATAAACTTTTTTAAACTATTGTATTCTGAATGTGTCTATTATAGGATTCTAGCAGGTACTTAATATCTCATATGCCTTAGGGTAAAAAGAATTATTATAGTCACTTCATCAAAAACATAACTTCTGAATTTGTGTGCACCACATAATACATCTTCCAAATATGTAAAATAAAAATTGATAATTATAAGGACTGCTCCTGTAGACCCAGGCATAAATATGAAAAGGCAAACTCTCATACTTTTAGAAGATTTTAAAAATATTTTTATGATAGGAAAGAATTTCCTACACAGGAAACAAAAAGCACAAACCTGAAATGAAAATATTGATAATTTTTACTATATTAAAGTTACCTTATATTACAGTGGTTTCGTGAATAAAAACTCATTATCAATAGATGGTATTAAAAATGAATTTTAGAAACCTAGAATCCTCAACAACTGTACCCAGTTGCAACCGCAACTACCATCACAGATTTCACCTCATTGCAGTTTGCAAGATCCCTGGAGTATGTAGTTAAAAAATTTTTAGTAGCCAAGACTTCATTCAGTTATTGGCACAGTCTGTGAATCATGGCTTTGAGACAGCATATGAGCTTATGAAAATATGTATATGCATAAGCTTTGTAAAGGGTCTGGGAGCAGGACACTGTCACCAGGATGTCACTAGCACCCCCTGCTGGACTGTGATACACTTACATGCTCCTCTCCAGTGGTGGTATCAAGCCTTATTCAGATGGGTTCACCTCACAATCCTATTTCATCTGTGTCTTAAATGGCCTCAGGCTTCTGCCTCTTGAAAACTATTGAGCCTTGCATGTACTTGAAGGATGGATGAGTCAGACATGATTGAGAACCCACAAAGGAACCTTGCTAATACTTGACCTCTGTGACCAGAAATGAAATAAACCTTGGTAACATACTGTCAGTATCAAGAACCTGTTCAGTTTACATTGTAATTCTAAAATCAACTAAAATGTGTACTTTTAGCAGAACTTTGTGTATAGTTAGAGATGGCCAACCCAGGGACAAATTATCTATATGAAAAATGGTCCTAACAATGTCTTTTGCGTTTGGCACTTTAAGGTCATTGTTTGGCAGAAGTTTAGTTAATAATCTTTCTGAAGTGTGTTTTAATTGGGTTTAGAACCCATGTTGAATCTTCTTTTCACGGGTTTTCATAATATTTTAAAATTATTTAATATTTTTTAACGTTTACTTTTATTTATTTTGAGAGAGAGAGAGAGTGCGAGTGGGGGTGTTGCAGAGAGGGAGGGAGAGTGAGAATCCCAAGCAGGCTCCATGCTTTCAGAAAAGAGCCCTACATGTGGGCTATATTCCACAAACCATGAAATTGTGACCTGAGCTGAGATCATGAGTCAGATGCTTAACTGACTGAGCTACCCAGGTACCCCGGGTTTTATTTGTTTTTTAAGTAAAGATTAATCTTGCTGATTAAAAAACAGGCTAAAAGAAGATATAAACCGTATATATAGCTGCCTGGAATAGTATGCAAATTATGTAAATATCATCTGTGAAGCAGTAAGCTGAAGACAGCCCAAAACAAAGAGATGATAATATGAACAAGCAGGTAATAGAAAAAGAAAACCAGTAGTCAGCTAATGTTTGAAAAGATGTTCTATCTTGCTAGAAATCAAGGATATACATGTTAAAACCACAGTGAAATACCATTCACATCCATGAAACTGTCAAGCATGGAAACAATACCAAGTGTTAAAGTGTTAATGTGGGTGGAACATTGGAAGCTCTCATGGAAAGAGGGTAGGGATATAAATTTAGCATTTATTAAAGTTGAAGATATGTCTCCAATACAACCCAGCAATTCTGTTCCCAGGAATATGTTTGAGAAATTCCTGCAAACGTAGATAGGAAATACAAAGCAGCATTGTCATTACAGTAAAAAATTAAGGGGAAAAAAAACCTGACTGCCCATCAATAGGGAGAATGAGTAAACTTGCACTTCTCTGAAAGTGAATGAACTAGATCTTCACATATCCACACATGAGTATGGAGGAGTCTCATGTAGAGTATTAAGCAAAAGGACGAGCTACAAAAGTATACTTTAGCATGTATACAATACAAAGCTTTAATACATGCAAAATGTTACATATTGCATACAGATTCCACCTGTGTAATAAGTTTATATGAGCTTTTTCAGTCTATGCAATGGGTGCTCAGTCATCGCTTTATCCCTGTGATAACATGGCACTGCAGTTGTCGAGTAGCGGTAGGTTATTTATTTTCTGGGGAGACTTCTCTGAGGTAGTGGCTATAAATTGGGTGATGAAAAAATGAGCATGGATTTTCAAAGGAGAATTCACGCACTGAAATTAATGTACTAACGCTCACAGAAAAGCTGCTCCAATATTCGCTTAGAACCTTTTGATTTATTTAATATATAATTCTTTTTTATTATTTAATATATAACTCTAATAAACTGAGTTGGCTTGTAATTCATGGCGGATTAGACTGCCAGAAGCAGACACACAGGTAGATGAGAAATGATAGCCAGCTGTGAGGTATAAAAGCAGGGAAAACCACCAAATGATTGTATAAGAATTAAAACTAAAAGTGGTCTAAGACTATAAAATAAAGGCGATGGATCTTATATGCCCTGGTAACTCTAGATAGCAAGATATACTATGTTGATGATGACGCCAGGTTATCCAGGTGTATATGTTTCAGTTGGAGAATTCAGGAATATTTATGATGTATGTTTGCAACAATATTCATAATTTTTTAAAAAAAGATTTGGAACTTAAAGGAAACCACTTTTCTGTTATGCAAAATTAACCTGTATGTAATAGCACATTTTTAAAGTATGCCTAGTAAGTAATGCATCTCTGTATTTCATTTACTCAGCATACATTTCTTGAGCATTTACTATATGCTAGGCATGGTGTTGACACTGGCCATACAAAAGCAAATCAGATACTTCATTATTTCGGTCATTAACATAGTAGCTCATATGTGATATGCTTAGGAAAAATAGAAAGTGCTGATTTGGTGACATGACCTCTGCTATGCTTACATCATTTTGAAAATTACAAAAATTAGAAGTATAAATAACTAAAGACTTTTAGATTTGAAATTTCAATTGAGAAGTGTGATGATAGTATATGCTTTTATGAATTTCCCATAGGCTTCTTGCAGTATGCATTAAAAGATTTTGAAAACTTAAATCTCTTTATTCTTGTAATCCTAATTCTAAATATTTATCTTGAGAAAACAAAACCAAAGAGTATATTTTTTTTAAAAAATAGTTTGATGTTTATTTATTTTGGAGAGAGAGAGAAAGAAACAGAACATGAGTGGGGGAGGGGCAGAGAGAGATGGAGACACAGAATCCGAAGCAGGCTCCAGGTTCTGAGCTGTCAGCACAGAGCCCGACATGGGGCTTGAACTCACAAACCTCAAGATCATGACTTGAGCCAAAGTTGGATGCTTAACCGACTGAGCCATCTAGCCTTCCCAAGGAAAATACTTTTAAATGATGTTTACCTGGCATTATTTATAGTAATGAAAATTCTAAATATCCAGTAGTAGAGAATTGTTTAAATTATGTTATATTCATCCATCAGAATTCCAATTTGAAGATATTTAATGACAGAAGAATACTTAGGTTGGTAAATTGCAAAAAAAAAAAAAAAAAAAAAGGCTGGAAGAGGAAAATATGCCAAAATACTAGGTGACTAAAGTAGTGGGATAGAGGTAATTTTCTTTATCCTTTGTATTCTTTATTTTCCAAGTCTCCTACAGTAAACATATATTAACTGTTATAACTGCAAAAAGTCGAGTGCTATTTGTAAGATAGTATGGATTTTCCATCTTAGAATACAATTTTTGAAATCAGTTGTCCTTTTGTGGATACTGTCAATAACCAAGACTTGAACTTTATTTAAAGCCACAATAATATAAGTTGTTATATAATAAATATAATTTACCATATATGATTTTATATTAACTTATTAAAATGACATTTTCATGCATGTTCTTGTCTCTCAAATGGAAGCACATGTCACTAAAGCCATAGACATGAACTCACAGATATGAAATGGAGAATCTGCATGTGAATAATGCTCTCTTTTGCGGTCGTGATTTTCAGTTCCTCAGTGGGTAGTGCGCTTCCACGAAGACGCTGCTGTGCATATATTACCATTGGGATGATATGTATTTTCATTGGAGTTGGATTAACTGTGAGTATTACTCTACTCACTGCTAGAATTCTTTCTTCTCAACTTTATCAGTAGTAAATTGATGAGGCCTGAACCTTCAGTGATCCCCATAGAACTTGCCTCCGTGGCATAGTAGGCCTGGAAGGTTCTGAAGGCCAGTGGGCGATCTGAAGCCCCAGTCCATAGAACTGTTCTTAATGGAGCTTGCCCATCTTGTGAAATAGTGTTTTGGGGCTCCTCTAAAGTTCGTTGACACTGGGGACTTTACCACTCATTTAACAAAAGCCCACTGGTTTTATTTAGTGCCATAGCCAAAGCAGAGGCAATACTCAATCAGCTATGGAGTTCTGAAAAACCATTCTCTTTGTTCCAATTAAGCACGGATTTATTGTCATTATGGGGATGGCTTATTTTTAGAGGAGACTGAAATTACATGGTTGGCATGGGGATTAGTCTCTCCCAGGAGAAGGAGTTACTGATCTTTTTTGTTACCATTTACTTCCCGTGCTCCTTTGTCTCCTCTTGTCCTATGTTATTAAAACACTCTTGTGTCATACAACACTGAAGAGTTCAGATTACAGATTCAAATGCTTAAAGAAATAATGTGTTCAAGTGGGCTTTTCTGTTTATTTCATGAAATTTAACATAAGCAGCAGTATTGTCTTATTAAATTTTACTCTGTCAATGATAGTCAACAAATTTGACAACTCCTATTTCATAGGGATTTTGTGGCCTTGGTGATATACTTCGTAAAAATCTCATGTAAGCCTACTCACGTTATCTAAGCAATTATTTGCCTAAAGTTTTTAATCTTTTGTTCTTCTATTTGCTTTTTATTTTAGGTTGGCACCCAAGATTTTGCAAGGCGATTTCATGCAACCTATGTTTCTTGGGCAATTGCTTATCTCTTAGGTTTGATCTGTCTTATCCGAGCTTGTTACTGGGGAGCCATAAGAGTGAGTTATCCAGAACATAATTTTGCCTAAGCTTGCTTCTGATTCAGTGATGCAGGGGAGAGCATCTAGCAGTTCTTGATAAACTACTCTGGACATCTTTAAATCATTTATCCTAATGGATTCCATTCTAGTTTATGTATAAAGTTTCAAGACTTTGCGAGTATTTTATGAACAAATGCCCATTGCACTACATTATATGCAAATAGTTTGTTTGCTGCTAGATTTTCAAGCTCTGAATAATAAAACTGTGTCTTCATGTTCTTTTACATCTCTTAAAAGATATTTTTGGATTTGTCACCAAACATTACGTATAACATCACCCTTCCATTATTTTTAAGTCAGTTATTCCATTACTTGCTCATCTGTGAGTATTCCCAAGGAGTGTTTATAAATGTTTCTACAATAGCTTCACATTTATACTCACATTTTAATTAAACAGTATCAAAATTGCTTGCTTTAATATCTAAGCAATATGCATTTTGCTTGAACTGCTTACTGTAACTTTAACCTAAGATCATAGTGACCTTATTCAGGAAAAACAATTGAGTGTACCTTCAAAGACTTGACATTCTTGTCAGATAAAAACCATTTCTAGATACTGTATGCTTGTTTTTTGTTGTTTGTAGAAAGATACAATATTTTGGTAGTAATTTAAAATACAAGAATGAAAATATTTATTTCTCCACAGTTGGAGATAATGTTGGATAAATGTTTTTTCCCTCAAAGATCACAGGAGTTTTGTCTTTCATTTTTGTCTGCTTTTTTGTTTACTAATTATAAAAGTTCTGGTCTAGATTTATGAAATTTAATGTTAATCAGCTGTGTGTATTCCTTTATAGATCTTGGAGGAAGTATTTCACATGACATATTTTATAAAATTAACCATTTAAACAAAGATATATTTACACTGGGTTGCCCTCTTTTTCATTAAATCATGGTAAAGTTTTCCTATTGGGCTAATTATGGACTGCTTATATGAGAAGAGAGCCTATGACATTTTACAGTAGCTAAAATGTTGAGATTAGAGGTAGTTACTCTTTTCATTCTTTTCAAATACAGCTGGTCAGATAGTTACCCAATTTATTCAAGAACGTAGATCAAAGACAAAAAGCAACATAGTTTTCTAAGAATTCACTAGGATTTAAGGAATCAGCTCTCGCACTGCCTATCTTTGCAGTTTTGAAAAAGAAATTGCTTAATTGAGAAGTAATGTTCTAAAGCCTTTAATGTAGTAGAAGTAAGATGATGAAATGATATGAGTAAATTAATTGGCTATTCCAGAGATAAGAATAATAGTTTAAATTATTTATGTTCCTGACTAGTATAAAAATGTACTCATCAGAGAATTTGGAGCAAAATACATGTAAACTTAAAAGAGTAATTGATAAATGTCTAAATGCAGTAGCTCAGGATTATATGTACCCTGGAAAATACAATAATAAAGATTATTGTTCAAATATTGTCTTGTTATATTCGATTTTTAAAAAAATAAGATGGTGTGGGGTGGTTGGGTGACTCACTCAGTTAAGCGTCCGACTCCTGACCTCAGCTCGTCATGATCTCATGATCGTGAGTTCGAGCCCTGTGTTGGGCTCTGTGCTGACAGCGTGGACCCTATTTAGAATTCTCTCTCCCCCTCTCTCTTTGCCCCTCCTCTAGTCACTCATATACTTTCTTTTCCTTTCTCTCTCTCTTTCAAAATAAAGAAGTAAACATTTTAAAACACTTTTAAAAATTAAAAGAATAAAAATTAGATGGTATTTCCAAAATAGATTTGAGTTTTTACTCTAAAGGAGTTTTCATGTTTAAGAACATATATAATGTGGGGGTGCCTGCGTGGCTCAGTAGGTTGAGCGACCTACTCTTGATTTCAGCTCAGGTCATGATCCCAGGGCCATGGGATGCGAGCCCTGCATCTGGCTCCACCCTGAATGGGGAGCCTGTGTAAAATTCTCTCTCTCTCCTCTGCCTCTCTTCCCTGCTCAGGTGTGTGCGCTCTTTTTCTAAAATAATAAAAAAAAGGAAGAACATCTATAAGGTTTCTTCATATATTATTCACTTGTGTTTTTTCTAGTATTTTCATGGTTTCATTTTAAAAATATAGATTTAAAATCTATTTATAATGTGCTTGATATAAGGAATGAAATAAGAATCTAATTTATTTCTTTCCTTAATGGTTAACTAATCGTATCAGCATTGTGTATTGAATAACCCATTCCTTTCCCATTAATTTGAAATCCCACGTTAAATTATATGCTGCATGCTCTTTTTCCTTTTGGGATATAATTCCATGAGAGCAGGAACTTTGGTGGCCTTGCTCACTGCTTTATCTCCAGCCTTTAGAATAGTGCGTAGTATATTTGTGTTCAATAGATTTGTTGTATGGATAAATAAGTGATTGAATAAATTGGTGCATTAAATTCTTATCCCTTTGGTGTGGACTTTATATTTGTTACAGAATATATAGGTGAATATTGATATAATCTTGTGTTAAGGAAAAACTTTCTTAGTAAAACCCCAAAGCAGAAATCCTACAAAAGGATTGATAGATTGTATGATTTAAAAGAAAAAACTTTTATGTGAAAATAATCATAAGGAAAGGAAAAGATAAACTATATTTTTGAAATAGTAAGAAGTTAATCTTTTTAATACGGGAAGGGACAAAAGGCATGAAAAAGCAATTTATGAAAGAAGAAATACAATCAGTAATAACACATGAGCTTCTTTTCAATTTACTAATAATCAAAGAGTTTAATTTAAAACATGAGATAACTATTTTTCACCTAGCATATTAACAAAGAATGAGTGATTAATCCCTGTAATGTTAAGGATATGAGGAGCCGCACGCACACACACCACACAGTCTTTGACGTAGTGATTCTGTCTCTGGGAGGTTATCCTAAAGGTGCTCTGGATAAAAGAACACATGTATTTGTACAATGATATTTATCACATTTTGCTCATAATAGGGATTAAAAGCAAGACGTCCTTCAATTCAGCAATAAGGGATAGGTGAAATAAATTATAGTACACTCATAGTATGAAATAAGTACTAAATGATGAAATTAACAAAATGATGAAATTTCTTGTCTAATTCAATCGGCAATGGCTCATAAAATATTGTATGACAAAATCAGATTACAAATCAATATGTGCAATATAATTCACTTCTTGAAGAAAATGATTTTAGGTGTATGTGTTCAAAAAACTAAGGAAAATTAACACTAAAACATTAAGAGGGGTTATTCCTGGGTGATGGAAGAGAATCTAACTTTTTAAAAGTTTCTGCACTAGATTAATTGGTTGGAAGGTTTAAGTTTTGCTCTTGATGAATAGATAAGAATACTATGTGATTGATCACATCAATATTTGTTACATTTTCATTTAGGCTCTTGAAGTTTTAAAATTAGTTTATTAAAATCCAAACCAATGCATTTCATTGATAAAATCTTGAGGTTACCAAATTACATATTTAAGCTTAGTCCTATCTGAATTAACATAAATGTTTAATTAAAGCATATTTATGAGACTTTATACCAAGTTTTATTCATAGAGCATTCCTTCCAATGCCTGGTACAGATGGCAAAACACAGAAAGTGCCAGGAAAATGTTATTTGAAAGAATATAACATAGTCACTAATCAGATAAGGATTTTTTTTTTTTGTCCCCAGCTATCCAAAGGAGTAAAAGATGCCTTAATTCTTCTTAGAAAAGAGGGAATAAATGGAACCACAGTCAATTAGTCTTGAGTAAGTCATATGTGAGTGAGCATATGTCATTTAGAAGATCCTAATAATGTGTGTCAGGTACAGGGCTGGCCTCACAGCACATGCAGTTTAACAGCCACAGGAAGCCTGGGAACCACATATTCTCGTTTCTGTTTCACCAGAAGAAATTGAAGTGTTACTCTCTCATAGATTTGAAAACAAGAGCTTTTTAAGTAGGACAGGCATCTGCATTCAAAACAAGCACTCCTGGGTGATTCTGATGTAGGTTTTTCTGGCTCCTACTCTTGAGAAACACTGCTCTATACCACACACACACACACACACACACACACACACACACACACACACACACACATTTGCATCCACCTTCTTGGGCATTCACATTTTCTTGTATAGAAAAAGCTTTGATTGTATTTGAGTAAATAATGCCATTTCCTTTGTTTAGCTTTTGTTTTTAGTTTTGATTTAGCTACACTTGTGCTTGTATATTATGAAACTATAACCATTCCCATGTGCATAGTCTCACAAATTGCTGTAAAATATAAGTTTGTACTTATTTGATATGTTTGGTACACACGTACACATAAATCTATAGTGATATATAAAATAAGCACTGAAGAAAAACCCCAAGTGTTTATTGATCTGACTTACATCTATGTTAATATTAAACCTCTATGTCATAGTTGTCTTGACTCTACCACTGAAGAAGTTCAGAATGGCTAAGTAATTAAAGGTCACTCAGCTTAGATGTGATGGCACCTGCTGGAATCAGTCTGTCTGCCTCCAAAATGTATCTGCTTTCCACTACAGCATGAGATTTTATTGTGCTTTGCTTTGTAGAGAATAACTTTTGAATTTTGTGCCCCCTGCTGTTCATTGTCTGTAACTCATTTGTGGAAAGAAAGTTGAAAAATATTTGCCGTCAGAATTTACTTCACAAAGAATAGAATACCTTTGTTTAAAAATATTTTTATGAATTTGATATTATATCCAGCTTTATTTAAGAGCATTTTATGTAACAAAATATTATTACATGTATTTATTTTCTTTATTTATAATATAAAATCATAAGAAAAACTAGCTAGGAATATTACTTACTAAATAGGAGGAAATTGACATACAATGAATTTTAACATAACTCCCTTTAATATTGATAGCAATATTAAAATGATTATTAAATAGCACACGATGCTAAAAAAGGATTTGTAAAGGTTTTTAATTTTTAAAATCCATTTACATACTTTGTTACAAATATAAATACTAAGGTTCTTTATATTTTGACAAATATACATATATTTGACTTGAGATGGAATGCTATGTGAAAAGCAGAAAAATAAAAAGCCTTTGTTCTTTTGAGACTGGCCCACAGACTAAGGTATCAGATGAGGCTACAGATCTCAGGAGTATGGTTTGTTATTTGACAGGTGAGAATATTTTATCTACCACAGAGGTAGTCTTTTCAATTTTGACTGTGTAACTAAGTTTATCTGAGGTAACCTGCTAAGTATAGGAAGTGATCACTCACATTTCTCTCAACAGATTTTTTAAATACCTACCCCGAGTGGCTTATGCATATGCAACGGTACTAATGGTTGGCTATAGAGTCACTGAAAGTTCCCAATGATCAAATAAATTTTTCTGAAAAACCTTGCCACGGTGCCTGATATTTCTATATCAGATATACCCTTGGCTTAAGATATTGGACATTTAAATAATTGTGGAGGAAATGTATTACATTTTTATTGCTTTTTAAGCTTTTTGGAAGAGTAAGCTTGGGATATGTGTAGAGAATTCCTTAGCTTAGACAATACTTTATTTTTCCCTGGACACCTGCCTTGCTCCTTCCTTTAAAAGCTCCTCTCTACCTACCATCTGCCATCTACAAATCTCCTTTCACTCCCCCATAATCAATGTGGACTTCG